GGGCCCTGCGCGGCGCCGGCGGGCGGAGGTAGAGCAGGAATCTGCGGCTGCATCCCCGGCAGCGGCCGCTTGCCCTGGACGGCCACCTGGAGATGCTCTGGAAGGGGTTGCCCTCGTGCCAACAGCTTGTAGGCCATGATTTGGGCACGGAGCTGGTGCAGCTGGGCGGCGTTGAACGGGGACGGGCCCCGGCCCAGCGCGGGCGAGTCGGAGCCGGAGCCGTCCAGGGCGGCGCCGGAGCCGCCGGCGGAGCTGCTGGAGGGGCCGTTGGACGGCACCGGGCTGGAGGCGTGCTCTGAGCCGCCCAGAGGGGATGGGTAACCTGGCAGGAATGAGGGATTTATGGATGGAGATCAGGATTTCCACTCCGAAACCCAACAGGGGTGGGAAGTCCCATTCCCAATCTGCTGCGCGGAACGTCAAAGTAACAGCAATCCAGCCCTGAGGCAGCTGGAATGGGAAACTCACTCCCAACCCATCCCTGAGGCAGCTGGAGTGAGAAATCCCATTCCCAACCCAATCCTTGAAGGAGGAGGGAGGGAAATCCCATTCCCAATCCATCCCTGAGGCAGTTGGAATGGGAAATCCCATTCCCAATCCATTCCTGAGGCAGTTGGAATGAGAAATCCCATTCCCAATCTGTCCTCGAGGCAGCTGGAATGGGAAATCCCATTCCCAATCTGTCCTCGAGGCAGCTGGAATCAGAAATCCTATTCCCAACCCATCCTTGAAGGAGGAGGGAGGGAAATCCCATACCCAATCCATCCCTGAAACATTTGAAATGGGAAATCCCACTTTCAACCCACCCTAGAAGCAACTGGAGTGGGAAATCCCATTCCCAATCCATCCTTGAAGCAGTTGGAATGGGAAATCCCATTCCCAATCCATCCCTGAGGCAGCTGGAATGAGAAATCCCATTCCCAACCCATTCCTGAGGCAGTTGGAATGAGAAATCCCATTCCCAATCCATCCTTGAAGGAGGAGGGAGGGAAATCCCATTTCCAATCCATCCCTGAAAATTTTGGAATGGGAAATCCCACTTTCAACCCACCCTAGAAGCAACTGGAGTGGGAAATCCCATTCCCAATCCATCCTTGAAGCAGTTGGAATGGGAAATCCCATTCCCAATCCATCCCTGAGGCAGCTGGAATGAGAAATCCCATTCCCAACCCATTCCTGAGGCAGTTGGAATGAGAAATCCCATTCCCAATCTGTCCTCGAGGCAGCTGGAATGGGAAATCCCTTTCCAAATCCATCCCTGAGGCAGCTGGAATGGGAATTCCCATTCCCAACCCAATCCTTGAAGGAGGAGGGAGGGAAATCCCATTCCCAATCCATCCCTGAGGCAGTTGGAATGAGAAATCCCATTCCCAATCTGTCCTCGAGGCAGCTGGAATGGGAAATCCCATCCCCAACCCATCCTTGAAGGAGGAGGGAGGGAAATCCCATTCCCAATCCATCCCTGAAACATTTGGAATGGGAAATCCACTCCCAAATCTGTTAGGCAGGAATAAGGAGCAAGGAATCCCCTCCCAAAATCCATTCTTTGGGACCTGGAAATCCCCTGGATTGCTACCAAAATCCAGGATTTATGTCATGGTATCCAGGATTTAACCCTGGAATGATGGAAACCTCCCAAAATCCAAATCCAGGATTTGGACACTGCTCCCAACCTTGGGAATGCTGAAAACCTCCCAAATTTGGCCACCATTCCTCCCCTTCCCGTGCTCCCAACCTCGGGAATGCTGAAAACCTCCCAAATTTGGCCACCATTCCTCACCTTCCCATGCTCCCAACCTTGGGAATGCTGAAAACCTCCCAAATTTGGACACCATTCCCTCTCTTCCCATGCTCTCAACCTTGGGAATGCTGGAAACCTCCCAAACCAAGGACTGCCCGAGGATTTGGAAACCGTTCCTTCCCTTCCCATGATCCCGACCTTGGGAATGCTGAAAACCTCCCAAAATCCAAAACCAGGATTTGGACAGTGCTTCCAACTTTGGGAATGTCCAGGATTTGGACCGTGCTCCCAACCTTGGGAATGCTGGAAACCTCCCAAACCAAGGATTGGCCAAGGATTTGGACACTGTTCCTCCCCTTCCCATGATCCCAACCTTGGGAATGCTGAAAACCTCCCAAAATCCAAAACCAGGATTTGGACAGTGCTTCCAACTTTGGGAATGCTGAAAACCTCCCAAATTTCGACACCATTCCCCCCATTCTTTTGCTCCCAACTTTGGGAATGCTGAAAACCTCCCAAAATCCAAATCCAGGATTTGGACACTGCTCCCAGCTTTGGGAATGCTGAAAACATCCCAAATTTGGACACCATTCCTTCCCTTGCCATGATCCCAACCTCGGGAATACTAAAATCCTCCCAAACCAAGGATTGTCCAAGGATTTGGACACCATTCCCCCCCTTGCCGTGCTCCCAACCTTGGGAATGCTGGAAACCTCCCAAAATCCAAATCCAGGATTTGGACACTGCTTCCATCTTTGGGAATGCTGGAAACCTCCCAATCCAAGGATTGGCCAATGATTTGGACACCATTCCTCCCCTTCCCATGATCCCAACCTTGGGAATGCTGGAAACCTCCCAAACCAAGGATTGGCCAAGGATTTGGCCACCATTCCCCCCCTTGCCCAGGATTTGGACACTGCTTCCATCTTTGGGAATGCTGAAAACCTCCCAAACCAAGGATTCTCCAAGGATTTGGACACCATTCCTCCCCTTGCCGTGCTCCCAACCTCGGGAATGCTGACAACCTCCCAATCCAAGGATTGTCCAAGGATTTGGCCACCATTCCTCCCCTTCCTGTGATCCCAACCTCGGGAATGCTGACAACCTCCCAATCCAAGGATTGTCCAAGGATTTGGACACCATTCCTCCCCTTGCCGTGCTCCCAACCTCGGGAATGCTGAAAACCTCCCAATCCAAGGTTTGTCCAAGGATTTGGACACCGTTCCTCCCCTTCCCGTGATCCCAACCTTGGGAATGCTGAAAACCTCCCAAAATCCAAATCTAGGATTTGGACACTGCTTCCAACTTTGGGAACGCTAAAATCCTCCCAAACCAAGGATTCTCCAAGGATTTGGACACCATTCCTTCCCTTCCCATTCTCCCAACCTCGGGAATGCTGACAACCTCCCACATTTGGACACCCTTCCTCCCTTTCTCCCGACACCATTCCCCCCCTTCCCATGATCCCAACCTTGGGAATGCTGGAAACCTCCCAAATTTGGACACCACTCCTCCCTTTCTCCCCCCTATTTTTTCTTCCCATGCTCCCAACCTCGGGAATGCTGAAAACCTCCCAATCCAAGGATTGTCCAAGGATTTGGACACCATTCCCCCCCTTCCCATGATCCCATCCTTGGGAATGCTGAAAACCTCCCAAATTTGGACACCATTCCTCCCTTTCTCCCCCCCATTTTTTCTTCCCATGCTCCCAACCTCGGGAATGCTGGAAACCTCCCAAATTTGGACACCATTCCCCCCCTTCCAGTGATCCCAACCCTGGGAATGCTGGAAACCTCCCAAAATCCAAATCCAGGATTTGGACACTGCTCCCAACCTTGGGAATGCTGGAAACCTCCCAAAATCCAAATCCAGGATTTGGACACTGCTCCCAACCTTGGGAATGCTGGAAACCTCCCAAACCAAGGATTGGCCAAGGATTTGGCCACCATTCCCCCCCTTGCCGTGCTCCCAACCTCAGGAATGCTGAAAACCTCCCAATCCAAGGGTTGTCCAAGGATTTGGCCACCATTCCCCCCCTTCCCATGATCCCAACCTTGGGAATGCTGGTCCATGGGGCTGGGGGGGGGCCCCATTCCCGCGTGCCCCCCCGGGCGCATTCCCATTCCCTTCATCTGCCCGTAGCGCGGATCCTCCGACATTCCCTTCTCGTGCATCGCATCCAGGGGCTGCGGGGGGCAAAAAAAAATCCCAGAAAATCAGATTTCAACAGAGAATTCCTGGAGGAAATTCTGCTCCCACCCCGCAGAATTCCCAAGGAGATGGAGGATCCTTTTTATTATTCCCAGAAATGCCAGATTCCAGCCGCTCTGGCCCCAAAAATCCTTCCCACAGCACAATTCCCTGGATTTTTTAATTGAAAATCCCTCTGGATTATAGGAGAGGAATTGTTGTTAAAGCCCAAAATCCATCAGGAAAAACCTCTCAATTAATGAGTTAATTAATGGGGGTGGGATGGGGGATTTTTCCATTCTTGAGGTTTTTCAGTGCATTTTTGGAGGAGAATCTTCCTGGACTCCTTCTTCTTCTTCTTCACCATCTTCTCTTCCTTTTTTTCACATTCCTCTCCTTCTTTTTCTCCATCTTCTTCTCCTCCTTCTTCTCCTCCTTCTCCATCTTCTTCTTCTCCTTCTTCTTCACCCTTCTCTCCTTCTTCTTCTCCATCTTCTTCTTCTTTTTCAATTTTTTCTTCTTCTTCTCCATCTTCTTCTTTTTCACCTTTCTCCTTCTTCATTTTCTTCTTCTCATTTTTTCACCTTCTTTTCTTCTCCATCTTTTTATTCTTCATTTTCTTCTTCTTCTTCTCCTTCCTCTCCTTCTTCTTCTTCTCCATCTTCTTCTTCACCTTCACCTTCTTATGCTGTTCTTCGTCATCTTTTTATTCTTAATTTTCTTCTTCTTCTCCTCATCTTCCTCTTCACCTCCTTCTCTTCCTCTTCTTCACCTTCCTCTCCTTCTTCTCCATCTTCTTCTCCTTTTCTCCATCTTTTTATTCTTAATTTTCTTCTCCTTCTTCATCTTCCTCTCCTTCTTCTTCACCTTCCTCTCCTTCACCTTCTTCTGCTGTTCTTCATCATCTTTTTATTCTTAATTTTCTTCTTCTTCTCCTTCACCTTCTTCTTCTCCTTTTCTCCATCTTTTTATTCTTAATTTTCTTCTTCTCCTTCCTCTTCTTCTTCTCCATCTTCTTCACCTTCCTCTCCTTCTTTTCTTCTCCATCTTTTTATTCTTAATTTTCTTCTCCTTCTTCTCCTTCCTCTCCTTCTTCTTCTCCTTCACCTTTTTCTTTTCTTCTCCATCTTCTTATTCTTAATTTTCTTCTTCTCCTTCTTCTCCTTCTTTTCTTCTCCATCTTTTTATTGTTAATTTTCTTCTCCTTCTTCTCCTTCTTCTTCTCCTTCACCTTTTTCTTTTCTTCTCCATCTTCTTATTCTTAATTTTCTTCTTCTCCTTCCTCTCCTTCTTCTCTTTTTTCTCCATCTTTTTATTCTTAATTTTGTTCTCCTTCCTCTTCCTCTCCATCTTCTTCTTCGCCTCCTTCCTTTCCTTCCTCTCCTTCTTCTTCTCCACCTTCTTCTTCCTCTTCACCTTCCTCCCCTTCCCAACCTTCTCCTCCACCTTCTCCTTCTCCATGGGTTTGGGTGATATTTCGTAATTGGACAGAAAAATCCGCACTGTGGACCTCGAGTGATTAATTATTGGGTTAATAGTGAAAATAATTAAGGCGTCATTCCTTAATTGGATTGTTCAGCCTTCAATGGCAGAGGTAGAAAAAAGGGAAAAAAACATCAATCCCACCCGAACCTGAGGGGTTTTGAGGTCTGGAATTCTGGGATTCTTGGATTTCGAGGTCTGGAATTGTGGGATTCTTGGATTTCGAGGTCTGGAATTGTGGGATTCTTGGATTTCGAGGTCTGGAATTCTGGGATTCTTGGATTTCGAGGTCTGGAGTTCTGGGATTCTTGGATTTCGAGGTCTGGAATTCTGGGATTCTGGAGTTTTGAGGTCTGGAATTCTGGGATTTTCAAATTCTGGGATTCCTCACCACGGATGGTCCCAAAACCATCAATCCCAAACCCGAGGGTTTTTGAGGTCTGGAATTGTGGGATTCTGGAATTTTGAGGTCTGGAATTGTGGGATTCTGGAATTTTGAGGTCTGGAATTGTGGGATTCTAGGATTTCAAAGTCTGGAATTGTGGGATTCTGAAATTGAGGGATTCTGGGATTGAGGAATTCTGGGATTGTGGGATTCTGAAATCTCGAGAGCTGGAATTGTGGGATTCTGGAATTTCAAGGTCTGGAATTGTGGGATTCTGGAATTTCAAGGTCTGGAATTGTGGGATTCTGGAATTTTGAGGTCTGGAATTGTGGGGTTCTGGAGTCTCGAGGTCTGGAATTGTGGGATTCTAGGATTTCAAAGTCTGGAATTGTGGGATTCTGAAATTGAGGAATTCTGGGATTGAGGAATTCTGGGATTCCGGGATTTCGAGGTCCGGGATTCCGGGGTTCCGGGGTTGCTGACTCACCTTGTGCAGGGGGTGGATGGCGTCCGGCGCGTAGCCCGCGGCCGGCAGCGCGTGGCCGGAGTGGCCGGAGTGGCCGGAGCCGGGGGAGGGGCCGGGGGAGGGGCCCAGCATGGACCCCGGGGAGGGGCCGGGCCCGGGGGAGGGGCCAGGCCGGGGGGTCCCGCCCAGGGGGGGCTCTGGAGTGTGGGATTCTGGAATTTTGAGGTCTGGAATTGTGGGACTCTGGAATTTTGAGGTCTAAGATTCTAGGATTTCAAAGTCTGGAATTGAGGAATTCTGGGATTGTGGGATTCTGAAATATCGAGAGCTGGAATTGTGGGATTCTGGAATCTCAAGAGCTGGAATTGTGGGATTCTGGAATTTCAAGGTCTGGAATTCTGGGATTCTTGTATTTCGAGGTCTGGAATTGTGGGATTCTGGAATTCTAGGATTTCAAAGTCTGGAATTGTGGGATTCTGGGATTGAGGAATTCTGGGATTGTGGGATTCTGGGATTTCGAGGTCCGGGATTCCGGGATTCCGGGGTTCTGGGGTTGCTGACTCACCTTGTGCAGGGGGTGGATGGCGTCCGGCGCGTAGCCCGCGGCCGGCAGCGCGTGGCCGGAGTGGCCGGAGTGGCCGGAGCCGGGGGAGGGGCCGGGGGAGGGGCCCAGCATGGACCCCGGGGAGGGGCCGGGCCCGGGGGAGGGGCCAGGCCGGGGGGTCCCGCCCAGGGGGGGCTCTGGAGTGGCCATCTCACACCAGGAGCTGGGAACGGGCACCTGGAACGAGGAATGGGGATTAATTAAGGGATTAATTAATTATTAGTGATTAATAATTAATGATTAATGATCCTGCAACTGAGGGAGAGCGGGGGGGTCCCGCCCAGGGGGGCTCTGGAGTGGCCATCTCACACCAGGAGATGGGAATGGGCACCTGGAACGAGGAATGGGGATTAATTAATGATTAATAATTAATAATTAGTACTAATTAATTATTCTGGAATTGAGGGAGAGCCGGGGGGTCCCACCCAGGGGGGGCTCTGGAGTGGCCATCTCACACCAGGAGATGGGAATGGGCACCTGGAATGGGATTAATTATGGGATTAATTAATAAAAATTATCAATAGTTACTAATTAATAATTAACGATTAATAATTCTGGGACCAAGGGAGAGCCGGGGGGTCCCACCCAGGGGGGCTCTGGAGTGGCCATCTCACACCAGGAGATGGGAATGGGCACCTGGAATGGGATTAATTATGGGATTAATTAATAAAAATTATCAATAGTTACTAATTAATAATTAACGATTAATAATTCTGGGACCAAGGGAGAGCCGGGGGGTCCCACCCAGGGGGGCTCTGGAGTGGCCATCTCACACCAGGAGCTGGGAATGGACACCTGGAATTGGGGATCAGGGTTAATTACGGCAATAATTAATGACTAATTATTAATAATTAATAACTAATAATTAAGAATTAGTACTAATTAATTATTCTGGGATTGAGGGAGAGCCAGGGGGTCCCTCTCAGGGAACTCTGGAGTGGCCATCTCACACCAGGAGCTGGGAACGGGCACCTGGAATGGGGGATCAGGGTTAATTATAGGATTAATTAATAATTAAAAATTGATAATTAATGGCTAATAATTCTGGAACTGAGGGAGCACCAGGTGGGAAAAGTCCTTCCCAATCCATGGTCAAGGAATGAGCAAGGAACTCTCCTCAGTCAAGCATGAGGAATTCAAACAATAATCTAATAATTTAATAATTAAAATTATGTATTAAAATAAGAACTAATTAAAACTTAAAGTTATTTCATTTTAATTAAATAGTTCAAATTTAATAATTTAATTTTTAAATTTATTACTCCCTCCTCTTTTTCATGTAATTTTTTATTTAATAAAATTTATGTATTTTCATTAAATAATTCAAATTCAATTCTTTGAAATTTTCTCCATTCCTCCTCTTTTTAATTTAATTTCATTTTTCATTTAATAAAAATTATTCCATTTTAATTAACCAAAATTTATTTAAAATTTTCTCCATTCCTCCTCTTTTTCATTTAATAAAATTTTTCATTTAATAAAAATTATTCCATTTTAATTAACCAAAATTTATTTGAAATTTTCTCCATTCCTCCTCTTTTTCATGTAACTTTTTATTTAATAAAAAATATTTAATTTAAATTAAATAATTCATATTTAATTCCTTGAAACTTTCTCCATTCTTTCTTAATTTAGTTTAATTTAATTTAATTTAATTTAATTTAATTTAATTGATGAAAGCACTCACCTAAGGGCATGGTAGTCCTCGACGCCTCGAATTTTCTCCATTCCTCCTCTTTTTCATTTAATTTCATTTTTCATTTAATAAAAATTATTCCATTTTAATTAACCAAAATTTATTTAAAATTTTCTCCATTCCTCCTCTTTTTCATTTAATTTCATTTTTCATTTAATAAAAATTATTCCATTTTAATTAACCAAAATTTATTTAAAATTTTCTCCATTCCTCCTCTTTTTAATTTAATTTCATTTTTCATTTAATAAAAATTATTCCATTTTAATTAACCAAAATTTATTTGAAATTTTCTCCATTCCTCCTCTTTTTCATGTAACTTTTTATTTAATAAAAAATATTTAATTTAAATTAAATAATTCATATTTAATTCCTTGAAACTTTCTCCATTCTTTCTTAATTTAGTTTAATTTAATTTAATTTAATTTAATTTAATTTAATTTAATTGATGAAAGCACTCACCTAAGGGCATGGTAGTCCTCGACGCCTCGCAGGGACGAGCTCCTAACGCCAGGCTGGGGGAAAAAAAATTGTAATTAATTAGTAATTAATTAGGGAATTTCATTATTCTCTGAGGGGATCCCATGAGGGGGGATCGATCCCGAGGGGGCTGAGGGGGGATCCTATGGGGCAAAAAAAATGAGAATTAATTAGGAATTAATTAGGGAATTTCATTATTCTCTGAGGGGATCCCATGAGGGGGGATGATCCCAGGAGGGGATCCTGGGGGGGGGGATCAATCCCGGGGGGGGGGATCGATCCTGAGGGGGGATCCCTTGAGGGGGGGAATTGATCCTGAGGGGGGATCCCTTGAAGGAGGATCAATTCTGAGGGGGGGATCCTGTGAGGGGGGATCAATCCTGAGGAAGGATCCTGTGAGGGGGAGAATTGATCCTGAGGGGGCATCCCTTGAGGGAGGATCAATTCTGAGGGGGGATCAATCCTGAGGGAGGATCCTCTGAGGGGAACCTTTGAGGGGGATCCTCTGAGGGAGGATCAATCCTGAGGGGGTATATCGATCCTGAGGGGAGATCCCTTGAGGGAGGATCAATCCTGAGGGGGGATCAATCCTATGGGGGGATCAATCCTATGGGGGGATCAATCCTATGGGGGGATCCTGTGAGGGGGGATCAATCCTAAGGGGGGATCCCTTGACGGGGGGAATCGATCCTGAGGGGGGATCCTGTGAGGGGGGATCAATCCTGAGGGGGCATCCCTTGAGGGGGGGAATCGATCCTGAGGGAGGATCCTCTGAGGGAGGGTCCCATGAGGTGACCCTATGAGGGGGGGGGATCAATCCTGGAGAGTGTTCAAGTCCCAGCAAGGGACAGGAATGTAAGTGGCGAATCCCGTGAGGGGGGAATCCCATGAGGGGGGATCAATCCTGGGGGGACTGAGGGAGGATCCTCTGAGGGGGATCGATCCTGAGGGGGTTGAGGGGGGATCCTCTGAGGGGAACCTTTGAGGGGGATCCTCTGAGGAGATCCCCCCTATGAGGGGGGATGGATCTTGAGGGGGCTGAGGGGGGATCCCATGACAGCGCATCCTAGGAGGGGATCCTCTGAGGGGAACCTTTGAGGGGCAATCGATCCTATGACTGATCCCCCCCGCTGAGGGAGGATCGATCCTGAGGGGGCTGAGGGAGGATCCTCTGAGGGGAACCATTCAGGGGGGATCCTCTGAGGGAGGGTCCTATGAGGAGATCCTCTGAGGGGGGATCGATCATGGGGGGTTGAGGGGGGATCCTCTGAGAGGAACCTTTGAGGGGGGATCCTCTGAGGGAGGATACCATGAGGAGATCCTCTGAGGGGGGATCAATCCTGGGAAGTTGAGGGGGATCCTCTGAGGGGATCCTCTGAGGGGGGATCGATTTTGACAGGGCTGAGGGGGTCCCGATCTTCTGAGGGGGAGGGGAACCCCAAGGCCCCGCGCTGAGAGCGCCGCCAGTGCTGAACAAAGGGCCCGTGACCCTCGCGGGCTGCCGTATCCTCCCCTCACCCCCCTTCAGCCGGCCTTACCGGAGCCGGAGCCCTTCCCGGAGCCCTTCCCGGAGCTCATCCCGGCCCGATCCCGACGCGATCCCGAGCCCGGTGCCGGCGGGGGGAACAAAGGAGCCGCCGGAGCCGCCGCCGCCGCCTCAGGGAGCGCCGGGCCCGCGCCTGCGCGTCCCGCCCCACGCCGCGGCCCCGCCCACCGCGCGCGCTCAGCCAATGGCGCGGCGCCCCCGCGCCGGCGCGGCCAATGAGAGGCGAGCGGAGGGGAGAGCGCGCGGCGGTCCAGGCTCCGCCCACAGCAGGAGCAGCCAATGGCAACGCGGCGCGCTGCCCCCCCACAGTAAGGGGAAGGAGGGTGGAAGGGGCGAGGCCACGCCCACACGCTGTGCGGCAGCCAATGGCAGGCGACCTCTGCCGATTTCCCCCTCTTCCCCGGCCTAATTGAGCTGTCAGTCACTCTCCGACTCACCCAATCAGCGCGGAGCTCTCCCGCCGCGGCCAATGAGAAGGCGGGGAACGGAGCGGGGAGGGAGGCGGGGCTTGGGGGGCGCACGCGTGCGCGGAGCGCGCGGCACTGCGGCGGGCTGAGCTCCGGTGGGGGGAGGGGCGGAAAAGGGGGAGGGGATCCCCGAATTTGGGGGGGGTCCCAGTCCAGGGGGATCCCAAAATTTGGGGTCCTAATCCAGGGGGATCCCAGAATTTGGGGGGTCCCAAGGTTTTGGGGAGGGTCCCAGGGATTTTGGAGATTTTTGGGGGTCCCAGTCCAGGGAAATCCCAGAATTTGGGGGGTCCCAGTCCAGGGGGATCCCAGAATTTTGGGGTCCCAGTCCAACAATGCTTATTTATGCATTGAATATTTATTTATTTGCATATTTAGTATTTATTTATCTAGATATTTAATACTTATTTCTCCGTTTTTATGTATTTTATATTTATTTCTCACAGTTTTTATGCATTTACTATTTATTTCTCCCAGTATCTATGTATTTAGTATTTATTTATTTATATATTTAGTATTTATTTCTTGGGATTATGGGAATATGGGATTGGGATTATGGGAATGGGAATGTGAATAGGGGACTGGGATTATGGGAATTTGGGACTGAGAATTGGAATATGGGAATGGGATTATGGGAATATGGGACTGGGAATGGGAATATGGGACTGGGAATGGGAAAAATGGGACTGGGAATGGGAATATGGGATTGGGATTATGGGAATATGGGACTGGGAATGTGACAGGGAATAGCAGGATGGGACTGGGAATATGGGATTGGGATTATGAGAATATGGGATTGGGATTGTGGGAATGGGAATCTGGGAATGGGAATGGGAAAATGGGATTGGGACTATGGGAGTGGAAATATGGGACTGGGAATGGGAATGTGGGACTGGGAATGGGAATATGGGATTGGGAATGGGAAAATGGGACTGGGAATATGGGACTGGGAATACGGGATTGGGAATGGAAATTTGGGACTGGGAATGGGAATGAGACTGGGAATGAGAATATGAAACTGGGAATATGGGACTATGAATGGGAATATGGGATTGGGACTGGGAATATGAGCCTAGGATTGGGAATATGGGACTGGGAATATGGGACTATGAATGGGAATATGGGGTTGGGACTGGGAATATGAGACTAGGATTGGGAATATGGAACTGGGAATATGGGAATGGGAACGGGAGACAAGGAATGGGAATATGGGACTGGGAAAGGGAAAATGAGACTGGGAATGGGAATATGGGACTGGGAATGTGACAGGGAATAGCAGGATGGGACTGGGAATGGGAATATGGGATTGGGATTATGGGAATGGCAATATGGGACTGGGAATGGGAATTTGGGACTGGGAATATGGGACTGGGATTATGAGACTGGGAATATGAAACTGGGAATATGGGACTATGAATGGGAATATGGGATTGGGACTGGGAATACGAGACTAGGGTTGGGAATATGGGACTGGGAACAGGACTGGGAATATGGGACTGGGAATGGGGGACAAGGAATGGGAATATGGGACTGGGAACAGGACCAGAAATATGGAACTGGGAATGGGAATAGGGGACTGGGACTGGGACCAGGAGTACGGGAATGGGGACAGGGAATAAATAAATGGAAACGCGGGACAGAGAACAGGACAACAGGGACAGGACAGGGAATGGGGACAGGAAATGGACAGGGAACAGGGACTGGGAATAAATAAATGGAAACGTGGGACAGAGAACAGGACAACGGGGAAAGGACAGGGAACGGGGACAGGAAATAGGGAATGGGGACTGGGAACACGGGAATGGCAACCAGACCAAGAATATGGGACAGAAAATGAGACAGGGAACGGGATCCGGAACGGGATGGGAGCAGGAGGGGACCAGGGAACGAGGCGGGGGGCAACGCAAGTGACCGTGGGGAGAGGGGGCTGCAGGACAGGGGAGAGCAGGAAGCAGCACGCAGGACACGGGGACAATTCCAGGGTGGAGAGTCCTGGATCAGCTCTCCCAGACGGAGCCGCTGGGCCTGGCGTGCCCAAAATCCGGAGCAACCCCCAAGATCCCCCCAGAAACCCTCAACTCCCTCGGACCCAGCATCCCCTGGAAGATCCCTCCACGTGCCCGTCCTTGTTTTAGTTCAACATCTTTATTTTTAACCCCGTGTTTGGAAAGGACAGAGAGAAATTAAAAGGAAATACAGGACATGGCGAGGCAGGAGGATGCGGAGCCGCCAGGCAGGATTCTTCCAACCGGGATCACCGGGGCTCTGCCCACCGGGGCTCCCTGGGGATCATCCAGCGCGGATCCTCCCACAGGGGAGGCAGCGGGAGCAGCGCACGGAGCTCTTCCTGTTCTCTGGGCGGCCCACAGTGCCGGCTGCACTGGTGTTTGGTCAAGTTACAGCTCTGCGTGAAGCTCTTCCCACACTGGAGACACTCGTAGGGCCGTTCTCCCGTGTGGATCCTCTGGTGAGCGACCAGCCCTGAGCTCTGGCTGAAGCTCTTCCCGCACTGCCCGCACTCGTAGGGCCGCTCTCCCGTGTGGATCCTGTGGTGGACGATCAGGCTGAAGCTCGTACTGAAGCTCTTCCCACACTGCCAACACTCGTAGGGTTTCTCCCCGGTGTGGGTGCGCCGGTGCTTGACGAGGCTGGAGTTGTGCTTGAAGCCCATCCCGCAGTCGGGGCAGCGGAAGGGCCTCTCGTCGGTGTGAATGCGCTGGTGCAGGAGGAGGTCGGACGTGGAGTGGAAACTCTTCCAGCACTGATCACACTCGTAGGGCCTCTCCCCGGTGTGGATGCGCTGGTGGATGACGAGGGCCGAGTTGTGCTTAAAGCCCTGCCCGCACTCGGGGCAGAGGAAGGGCCTCTCCTCGCTGTGAGTGCGCTGGTGACTGAGCAGAGTGGAGCTGGTGTAAAACCTCTTCTTGCACTGATCGCACTCGTAGGGTCTCTCGCCGACGTGGTTCCTCTGGTGGACAACCAGGCTGGAGCTCTCGCTGAAGCTCTTCCCACATTCCCCACACTCGCAGGGACTCGTGTGGGTGCACTGATGCTCGCTGAGGCTGGAGTTGTGCTCAAAGCCCTGCCCGCAGTCAGGGCAGCGGAAGGGTTTCTCCTCTGCGTGCGAGCGCTGGTGCACCATGAGATCACCGATGCTCGGAAACCTCTCCTTGCATTCATCGCACTCGTAGGGCCTCTCCCCTGTGTGGCTCCTCTGGTGGACAATCAGGTTGGAGCTACAGGTGAAGCCCTTCCCGCACTGGGGACACTCGTAGGGCCGTTCCCCGGTGTGGCTCCGGTAGTGCACAATCAGCTGGGAGCTCCGGGTGAAGCTTTTCCCACACTGCCCACACTCGTAGGGCCGTTCCCCGCTGTGCATCCTCTGGTGAACCATCAGGTAGGAGCTCGTGTTGAAGCTCTTCCCACACAGCCCACACACGTAGGGCCTCTCCCCGGTGTGGATGCGCCGGTGGGTGACCAGGGTGGATTTCTCCCTGAATCCCTTCCCGCAGTCGGGGCAGCGGAAGGGCCTCTCCTCTGTGTGAATGCGCTGGTGACTCAGGAGAGTGGAGCTGGTCTGAAACCTCTTCTTGCATTTGTCACACTCGTAGGGCCTCTCTCCCGTGTGATTCCTCTGGTGGACGATCAGGTGAGAGCTCAGCATGAAGCTCTTCCCGCACAGCCCACACTCGTAGGGCCTCTCCCCGCTGTGGATGCGCTGGTGGACAATCAGGTAGGAGCTTGTGTTGAAGCTCTTCCCGCACTCCCCACACTCGTAGGGACGTTCCCCGGTGTGGATTCTGCAGTGGCGGATCAGGGAGGATCTCCATCTAAAGCTCTTCCCACACTCCGAGCACGCGTGGGGCTTCTCCCCGTCCTGGAGCTGCTCAGGGACCCCCAGCTCCGAGCTCCGGCCGCCTCCCCGGCCCAGCCTGGCTCTTTCCCCCTCGCATCCCCGCGCTCTGCGTTTGCAGCCCGTCCTGCTGAGGGATCTCCGGGGCTTTTCCTCCCCGCTGGGTTCCTGCGCCGTGCAGCCGCTCAGAACGGCCTCTGCCACCAGCTTCTGCCGCGGGGATTTGTCCTCCCTGCTCTCCATGCTCAGCTCCTGCTCTGCGGGAGGAAGGACAACGACACCGTGGCATTTGCCGCCGTGCCACGTCCCAAACATCCCCTGCCCCGCAAAAAAACCCTCCCGGAGACCCCCGCGATGGATTTGGGGCGACTCCCCCTCCCGCTCACCTGCGGCGCCGGGGGGCGATGCCGGCGGAACCGGGGCAGCCGCGTGGTGCTGCTACTGCTGCTCCTCTCCCGCTCCTCCTTTTCCCTCCTCGTCCTGCTCCTTTTCCTCTCGATCCTCTCCTTCCCTTTCCTTTTTCTTTTCCTCTCTCCCTCCTCTCCCTGCAGCTCCCGCTCCGCTCCCAGCCCGGCCCGGGCGGTGCCGACCCCCAAAAGCAGCCGCGCTCTGCCCCGGGCGGGTTCCCAAGCGGCCCCGGCCCGCGCGGCACTGGCAGCGATGCTGGGAGCGCCGGCAGCGATCCGGAGAGCAGCGGCAGCGATGCTGGCAGCAGCGGGCGGACACTGGGAGCGCTCTCCCTGCCGGGTGCTGGGAGCGCTATGAGCGATGGTGAGAGCACCGGGCAGGAATTGGGAGCGCCCTCCCTGCCAGTCCCGCTCTTACTGGGAGCGCTGGGGAGGAACTGGGAGCAAACAGCGCCGGGACGCGGCTGCAGCCGGCTGGGGGCGGGGCCGAAGCGAAGGGCGTGGTTATGCAAATACAGGAACGATCGCGCGCTGGGATTGGTGGGCGGGAGCAGCGCGGGCGTTCCTCGGTCACGTGAGGGCCGCGGGAGGACCGGAGCGATGGCGGCGGCGTCCGGTGAGAGGGGACAGGGAGCGGGAATGGGAACAGGGAATGGGGACAGGAAGTGGGAATGGGGACAGGGAGCGACAATGGGGACAGGGACCGGGAATGGGGACAGGGAATGGGAATGGGGACAGAGAATGGGAATTGCGATAGGGAATGGGGACCGGGAATGAGAATAAGGACAGGCACCGCGCTTGAGGATGGAGAATGGCGACAGGGAATGGAAATGGGGACAGGGACCAGGAATGGGGACCGGGCATGGGATCAGGGAATGGGTATGGACACAGGGTCCAAGAATTGGGACAGGGACCAGGAATGGGGACAGGATCCGGGAATGGGGACAGAGACGGGGGAAGGGAAAAGGCACCGCCAGTGCAGGAGAGGGACTGGGATTGGAGTCAGGAATCAGAAAATGGGAACGGGCCAGGAAATATGGAAATGGGAAGGCAGAACTGGCACCAGGAGATGGAACAGGAAAAGGGGAACAGGACAGGGAATATGTGACTGGGAATACAGGAACAGCAACCCGATAGAGAATATGGGACGGGGATAGATTTTGAGGTCAGGAATGGCACCCAGAGTCATATGAAAGCAGCTTGGGACCCGGAGTTTGGTAGTAAGGGAACAGGTGGAGTGGGATATCAGGGAGAGGGGGATCTGCGAGGGGGGACAACTGGAACCAGGACAGGAGGCCATGGAGACACTGCCAGGGCAGAGGATCCTTGATCAGAGGCCCCAGAACTTGACAGGGTCTCCCAGCACAGCTGGAGCCGCAGGTTGTGGCATGCCCAAAGCCATGAGGAACCCCCAAATCTGTCCAAGGAACTCTCAACTCCCTCGGACCCAGCATCCCGCTCACGCCCTGGAAGATGCCCCCATGTCCCCATGCTTAGTTCAACATCTTTATTTTTAACCCCGCATTTCGCTGTTTGGAAAGACCAAAGAGAAATTAAGAGAAAATCCAGGCCACGGCGAGCCAGGAGGATGCGGAGCCCCCGGGCAGGTGTCTTCCCAACAGGGATCACCGGCACCAGGGATCACCGGGGCTCCCTGGGGATCATCCAGCGCGGATCCTCCCGCGGGGGATGGAGCTGGAGCAGCGCACGGAGCTCTTCCTGCGCTCTGGGCTCTCTCAGGGCTGCCCTTAGTGCTGGCTGGTTTCGTGTTTGGTCAAGGCAGATCTCCTGGAGAATCTCTTCCCACACTGCCCACATTCGAAGGGTTTCTCCCCGCTGTGGATTCTCCGGTGTTTGATCAGCGAGGAGCTTCTGTTGAAGCTCTTCCCACAGAGCCCACACTCGAAGGGTTTTTCCCCGGTGTGCATGCGCCGGTGGGTGACGAGCTGGGAGTTGTTCCTGAATCCCTTCCCGCAGTCGGGGCAGAGGAAGGGCTTCTCGTCTGTGTGAATGCGCTGGTGCTTCACGAGATCAGAGCTGGTCTGAAACCTCTTCTTGCATTGATCACACTCGTAGGGCCTCTCCCCGGTGTGGATCATCTGGTGTCTGATCAGGTAGGAGCTTGAGCGGAAGCTCTTCCCACACTGCCCACAGTCGTAGGGCCTGTCCCCAGTGTGGATCACCTGGTGGGCAATCAGCCCTGGGATCCCTGAGAAGCTCTTCCCACACTTCCCACACTCGTAAGGCCGTTCTCCCGTGTGGATCCTCTGGTGGACAACCAGCCCTGCGTTCCGGCTGAAGCTTTTCCCGCACTCCCCACACTCGTAGGGCCGTTCCCCGCTGTGCATCCTCTGGTGAACCACCAGGCTGGAGCTCGTGCTGAAGCTCTTCCCACACTCCCCACACTCGAAGGGTTTCTCCCCGGTGTGGATGCGCCGGTGGATGACGAGGCCGGCGTTGTGCCTGAATCCCTTCCCGCAGTCCGGGCAGCAGAAGGGCTTCTCGTCTGTGTGAACGCGCTGGTGACTGAGGAGATCATAGACGGTGTGGAACCTCTTCTTGCATTGATCACACTCGTAGGGCCTCTCCCCGCTGTGGATCATCTCGTGTCTGGTCAGGTGGAAGCGTTGGGTGAACCTCTTCCCACACTGGGGACACTCGTAGCCCCTCGCCCCGGTGTGGATTCTGCAGTGGACGGTCAGGCTGGATTGCCATCTGAAGGTCTTCCCACATTCCCCACACTCATAGGGCCTTTCCTGCATGTGCAATCTGCTATGCAGGATGAGTTTGGATCTACACGGGAAGCTCTTCCCACATTCCGAGCACGCGTGGAGCTTCTCCCCATCCTGGAGCTGCTCAGGGACCCCCAGCTCCGAGCTCCGGCCGCCTCCCCGGCCCAGCCTGGCTCTTTCCCCCTCGCATCCTCGCGCTCTCCGTTTGCAGCCCGTCCTGCTGAGGGATCTCCGGGGCTTTTCCTCCCCGCTGGGTTCCTGCGCCGTGCAGCCGCTCAGAACGGCCTCTGCCTCCAGCTTCTGCCGCGGGGATTTGTCCTGCCTGCTCTCCATGCTCAGCTCCTGCTCTGTGGGAGGAAGGACAACGACACCATGGTATTTGCCTCCGTGACACAGAGAAGGGCAAGGAGATCACCCCCAGCGTGTCCCCAGCAGGACGGTGTCCCCAGCAGGGCTGTGCTGCAGCCGGGGGCCGTGCTGGGCTGGGAGATGGAGCAGGAGAGAGGGGAAAGGGGCACTGACTTCCTCCTCACCTGCCTGTGGCTCCTGGGACATTTTCCTCTTCCTCACGGCCTCCTCCTCCATGGGGCAGAGGTTTGGCAAGGGGAAATCCTGCTTTGGGGCAGAACAAGGGCTGAGCGCGTTGCCTTTGATGGTGCCGCTGCCCAGGGCCAGCTGGAGAAGTCAGCGCCCCTTTCAGCCTCGGGGGGCCCAGAGCCCACTCATCCCCCAGCCCCCTTTCAGCCTCGGGGGGCCCGGAGCCCACTCATCCCCCAGCCCCCTTTCAGCCTCGGGGGGCCCGGAGCCCACTCATCCCCCAGCCCCCTTTCAGCCTCGGGGGGCCCGGAGCCCACTCATCCCCCAGCCCCCTTTCAGCCTCGGGGGGCCCGGAGCCCACTCATCCCCCAGCCCCCTTTCAGCCTCGGGGGGCCCGGAGCCCACTCATCCCCCAGCCCCCTTTCAGCCTCGGGGGGCCCGGAGCCCACTCATCCCCCAGCCCCCTTTCAGCCTCGGGGGGCCCGGAGCCCACTCATCCCCCAGCCCCCTTTCAGCCTCGGGGGGCCCGGAGCCCACTCATCCCCCAGCCCCCTTTCAGCCTCGGGGAGCCCGGAGCCCTCTCATCCCCCAGCCCCCTTTCAGCCTCGGGGGGCCCGGAGCCCACTCATCCCCCAGCCCCCTTTCAGCCTCGGGGGGCCCGGAGCCCACTCATCCCCCAGCCCCCTTTCAGCCTCGGGGAGCCCGGAGCCCTCTCATCCCCCAGCCCCCTTTCAGCCTCGGGGGGCCCGGAGCCCACTCATCCCCCAGCCCCCTTTCAGCCTCGGGGGGCCCGGAGCCCACTCATCCCCCAGCCCCCTTTCAGCCTCGGGGAGCCCGGAGCCCTCTCATCCCCCAGCCCCCTTTCAGCCTCGGGGGGCCCGGAGCCCACTCATCCCCCAGCCCCCTTTCAGCCTCGGGGGGCCCGGACGCTCCCAGCCCGGCCCGGGCGGTGCCGACCCCCAAAAGCAGCCGCGCTCTGCCCCGGGCGGGTTCCCAAGCGGCCCCGGCCCGCGCGGCACTGGCAGCGATGCTGGGAGCGCCGGCAGCGATCCGGAGAGCAGCGGCAGCGATGCTGGCAGCAGCGGGCGGACACTGGGAGCGCTCTCCCTGCCGGGGCCGCTCTTACTGGGAGCGCTGGGAGGGAACTGGGAGCGAACGGCGCCCGGCGGGGGGCGGGGCCAGGCCAAAGGGCGTGGTTATGCAAATCTGGGAGAGAGCGCGCTCTGGGATTGGTGGGCGGGAGAAAGTCCCCGGAGAGGGGACAGGGACCGGGAATGGGGACAGGGACAGGAACCAGGAATGGGACTGGGGACAGGGACAGGGACTGGGGACAGGGACAGGCACCAGGAATGGGAATGGGGACAGGGACAGGGGACAGGAATGGGAATGGGGACAGGGACAGGGACTGGGGACAGGGACAGGAACCAGGAATGGGACTGGGGACAAGAATGGGAATGGGGACAGGGAATGGGACTAGGGATAGGGACCGGGAATGGGGACAGGGACAGGAACCAGGAATGGGACTGGGGACAGGGACAGGGGACAGGAATGGGAATGGGGCCTGGGAATAACAGACAGGGACCAGGACTACAGGACTGGGACAGTGAATATGGATCTGGGACCAGGACTGGGAACTGGGCTGAAAATACGAGGCAGAGATTGGGAATGGGAGTGGGATTACGAGACAGGGACAGGGAATAGGACAGGGAATATGGGAGAGGAACCTGGAA